AGTGGGGGGGCGTGGTGTATCCGGGGGGTGTGGTGTATTCAGAGGTCCAAGGGGCGTGGTGTATTCAGAGGTCGGGGGGGCATGGTGTATCGGGGGGCGTGGTGTATTCAGAGGTCAGGGGGCGTGGTGTATCCGGGGGGCGTGGTGTATTCAGAGGTCTAAGGGGCGTGGTGTATTCAGAGGTCGGGGGACGTGGTGTATCGGGGGGACTGTCACTCACTCACCCTCGGAGCAGTACTCCCCCCTCCAGCCGGGCAGGCAGACGCGGGCGCCCAGCTCGTCGCAGGCGTAGTGCCCGAAGGGGTCGTCGCGGGGGCGGCAGTAGTCAGAGCAGCCCTCGCCGTAGTAGTGCTCGTCACACAGCACGTGGTAGGAATAGCGCAGCTCGCTCTGCTCGCCCAGCTGCACGTCCTGGGACCAGTCCTCACCCACCGCCAGCCGGCGCCGCGTGGCCAGGCGGCTGATCAGGTTCTGGGCGTCCTCTGTGGGGTTGGAGGGCGGGGGGGGGGGGGGGGAAGAGGAGAAACGGACGGTCAATGAAGAGCCTGGGAAAAGCACAATGCTTCCCCTCCCCCTTTCCCTGCAATGACCCCCCTCTCTCATGGGGCAGGGCCAAAAACCGGGCCCTTCAGCACAAAGGGCCTGAGCCAGACACCACTGAAGTCAAAGGGCCTTGAGACGAGGCATAGACATTGCTCACTTCAGCTGAAGGAGGAGCTCCGTTAGCCAGCAGCGGTAGTAAGGCCATTATCCTCTATACGGACCAGCCACTACAGGGAAACACAGAATACTGACCCAACAGGGTAATGCCCTTTGCTCCCTACCCAGAGGAGGGGTCACTCTTAAAGAGGTGTGGGCCAGGTCCTTTAACAGAGTCCGAGGACAGGAGGGACCTCTGCGATCATCCAGCGTGACCCCCAGTGTAACAAGGCCAGAGGACTTCCCATCGGCGCTAGAGGAGATTGTTTCGTAAGACATCCACAGGCTTAAGTTTAAAATCGTCAGGGATGGAGAATCCACCTCGACCCGTGATCAGTTGTCCCAATGGGTAATGCCCCTCACTGTTGAAACTGTGCATCTGATATTCCCGTCTGACTATTTCCAGCTGCAACTTCCCGCCGTCAGATCGTGTTTGACTTTTCTCCCCTAGGCCGAAGAGCCCTTGATTAAATATTTGTTCCCCCTGTAGGTGCTGATAGACGGGGATGAAGTCACCCCTGAACCTTCTCTTTGCTAAGCTAAATACATCGAGCTCCTTGAGTCTCTCGCTACCAGGCAGGTTTTCTAACCCTCTGATCCTTCTCATGACTCTTCTCTGACCCCTCTCCGATTTACCAACATCCTTCTTGAACGGTGGGCACCAGAACCGGGCACAGGATCCCAGCCGCGGTCGCACCAGGGCCAAACACAGAGGGGAAATAACCTCTCTGCTCCTCCTCGAGATTCCCCTGTTTATACATCCCAGGATCACCTTGGCTCTTTTGGCCCCAGCGTCGCACTGGGAGTTCATGGTCAGCCAATTATTCGTTCCCCCCACCCCAAAACGTCTTTCAGAGTCACTGCTTCCCAAGAGAGAGTCGCCCAAATTCTTTCCTTTCTAATTCCCATAATGAACTCGCTGCACCAGCTCCCCTCACTCTATTGGCTTAAATCCCGGCCCCCAGGCACGTCCCAGTCCCCAGCCCACCCGGGATCCCTTCTCCATCCGCCACCCCACTCAGTGCCCCCCACCCGCCATGAATCTGCCCAGCTGGCAGCTGCTTGCCCTCTACCCAGGCAGATAGAATCATAGCGATGTGGGGCCGGAAACCATCTAGTCCCAGCCCCCTGTGCGGAGTCCGGACCAAATAACCCCAGACCAGGCCTGACAGGTGTTTGTCCAGTGACAGGAATTCGATAACCTCCCTTGCAAGCCTACTCCAGAGCTTCCCTCCCCTGAGAGCTCCGAATATCTACCTTCAATCTCCCTCGCGGCAGATTAAGCCCATTTTTTCTTGTCCTCCCTCCAGCGGACATGGAGAACAACTGATCCCTGTCCTCCTTAGAACAGCCTTTAATGGATTTGACGACTGTTCTCAGGTCCCCCCCTCAGTCTGCTTTGCTCCAGACTAAACAGGCCCAGGTTTTTTAACCTCTCCTCCTAGGGCAGGTTTGCTGAACCTTGGATCCTTTTGGTTGCTCTCCTCTGGCCTCTCTCCAATTTGCCCACATCTCTCCTAAAGCGCGGCGCCCAGAACTGGACACCGTCCTCCAGCTGTGGCTTCCACAGTGCCGAGTAGAGCGGGACAGTTACCTCCCGTGTCTGACATACGGCACTCCTGTTAATACCCCCCAGAATGATATTAGATTAAAACTGCATCACACTGTCGGCTCCTATTCAGTTTCATATCCACTAGATTCCCCCCGTTTCTTTTTCAACACTATTATCCCCTGGCCAGTTATTCCCCAAGCATTTGATTTCTCCTTCCCCAGTGAAGTATTTCACACTGGTCTCTACTGAATGTCCTCTTGTTGAGTTCAGACCAATTCTCCAATTTGTCCAGGTCGTTTTCAGTTCCAGTCCTATCCTCCAAAGTGTTTGCAATCCCTCCCCGCTCGGTGTCATCTGCTGATTTCATAAGCATCCTCTCCACTCCATTGTCCAAGTCATTCATGAAAATATTGAACGGTACCGGCCCCGGGACTGACCCCTGCGGGACCCCACCAGTTACACCCTCCCAACTGACAGCAAACCATTGATAACTACGCTCTGAGCTCCGTCTTTCAACCAGCTGCACACGCACCCGATAGTCGTTCCATCTAGACCCACACTTCCCTAGGCTGCTTAGGAGACGGTCATGTGGGAAGGTGTCAAAAGCCTTCCTAAAAATCAAGATACATCACATCTAGTTTTACACACATACCCCGATCGAGTAGGCCCGTGACCCTGCACACACCTCACAGATGGGGCCAAGTAGGTGTACCCACAGCACGTGCCCCCCACCCAATTACACCTCCTCCCCGCCCCTCCATCCACCTGGGACCCCGCCTTGTCCCAACTCCCTTGCGATCCGTGACACTAGTGCCAACCTGTAAGGGGAAAGAACAATCCCCCCTTCTTGCCCCACATGTGTCGGGGGAGGGGCCGACCCAGCCCAGGCAGGAAGGGGGTCAGACGCTGCCTTTGGGGGAGAGTCTGTGTCCATTTGCCGTTCCCATCCGTGCCTGAGTTCCCCTTCTCCAGCACTCGCTCTCCTGCCTCCAGCGCCCCCACAACACACACCCAGCACCCCTCCTCCCCACCCAACCCCTGACCCTTACCCCCTCCTCCCCACCCACCCAATTCCCACACCCCTCTCTCCTCCTGCACCTCTACCCCCACACCCAACCGCCACACCCAGCACCCTGTGGAGAATGTGGGAATGTCTTGTAACATTTTAAGGAACAGTGTGTGATGCAGTTTACCCACTGCCTGGGAAGAGGTCAGTGCCTCCTCTGGGGATAGGGGGATTGAGGGACATGTGTATAACATCTCTGCCTGAGGCTGTATCCTCCCTGCAGAGCCTAAACCGGCATAGCTCCCTAGTGTAGACGCAGCGTATGCGACAGAAGGAGTGCTGGCCTGTATGGTAGCACCAGCTCCCCGATCGACAGTAGCCAAACCACCAGAAGCACTGTGTGTCTCCACTGACGGCTGTGTTGGCATAGCTAAGTTGGCTGGGGGGGCAGTGGCTTTTTCACACCCCCGACCGACAGAGCCATGCCAGGCTACGTTTTATGACTCTAGCGTGGCCCGAAAGTGCCGTCGAGAACTGAAAGGAACCCACACAGATGAATGGCAGATCCAGGGACTGGCATAGGAACCCTTCACCCCCAGCCGCCCGAGAAAGAGAAGAGCTGGGATCCAGCAGGGGTGAGGACAGAAACATAAGCGGGACCAGGCCTAGGTACAGAGACACAAGGTGGCCCCCAGGACAGCTGCTTCTGCGCAGATAAACTGTCTTAAGCTTGGCTTTTCCATGCACACCTCAGCACTCTCCGAGGCTAGATTCCTGATGACTAATCAATGCTCCATTGTCCTGAAAAGGCTGCCTGGTCTCACCAGGCGTACGCCCTGGGTGCACGGCTCCCTGAAGGGGTACAAGTGCCTATAGGAGTCTGAACTTGGCTGGTCTCTCGATAGAGCATCCGGACAGAAATGAGGTCCCAGAGTTTTGGGAAAAGCTATGCTCAGGGCAAGGCAAGACGTAGTGGTCCTTCTAAGACAGTGGTTTTCAACCAGGGGTAGGCATACCCCTAGGGGTACACAGATGTCTTCCAGAGGGTACATCAACTCATCTAGATATTTGCCTAGTTTTACAACAGGCTCCATAAAAAGCACTGGCCAAGTCAGTACAAACTCAAATCTAATACAGACCACGACGTGTTTATACTGCTCTATACTACTACACAGTCACTGAAAAGTACAATATTTATATTCCAATCGATTCATTTTATACTTACATGGTCAAAATGAGAAAGTCAGTGATTTTTCAGTACTAGTGTGCTGAGACACTTTTGTATTTTTATGTCTGATTTTGTAAGCAAGCAGTTTTTAAGTGAGGTGAAACTTGGGGGTACGCAAGATTAATCAGACTCCTGAAAGGGTTACAGTAGACTGGAAAGACTGAGCGCCACTGTTCTAAGGGACTGGATGAAGGCCAGAGCACTGGACCCATATTGATCCATGACACCTGGTGGCAGTAGTGGGATACTAGATGCACCAGTAGTGTTTTGCATCCAGTGACCACTGTAGGGTGAGCAGCCCAGTTTGAGAGCAGAGAAGAGGGGAGAATCGGAGAATGCCCCAACACAAGAGCTGGAGCAGCAGAGACTGGGGCTGAAAGCAAAGGAGCTTCAAATGGAGGCACCGACGCTGGAGACAGCCAGGTCCAGCATGCTGAGCAAGAACAAGACGCTCGAGCGCGCCACAGGCAAAACACGAGTCATGACAGAGGGACGCATGCACCGGAAATCAAGGCGCCAAGGAGCAAGAGGCCGTGTGGAACCCCAGCTGGGGAGATCTACTCCACAGATACAACATTACTGCCCCACTTGGAGGAGGATGGGGATAGAGATGCCTTCCTCGCTGCCTCGGAGACTGCTTACGTCTGAATTGACCCCTAGGACAAGGTTTCAGTCGGAGTGTGCAGAAGACCAGGGGAGGGACATATACGGAGGTTGCCACCCCGGTGGGAGAATAGCTCCACCAATGGGGTACAGGAGTCACTTCTCTGGAGACTTTGTTGGGTTAGAACAATTCCACCCAGCGTGGCCCCCATGAGTTTAAAAGATTGGATGGTTTACATGAAGGTGGGAGGCTTTTTTGAAAACACCTGCTCCAAGGAGTCTTTTGGGGCCGTCCTCCGGCCTGTGTCATACAGGAGATCAGACCAGATGATCACAACGGTCCCTTCTGGCCTTGAGATCTGTGAAAATACGGTTAGTGGCTCAGAAGTCTAAGGATCTGTCTGTCGCAGGCTGATTGGCACATGAGTTTGTGGACAGTACATCCAGTTATCAAACAAGACTCAAAGGGGATTGGCCTAGGCATGGGGTGGGGGTGGGGGGGTTGTGGAAGCACCCCAGATGTGGGATTTGGGCAAACGCAAACTGGGAGGGGGCAGCTGACCTGGGTAGCCCCCGGATCCCAAAGATCTAAGCTGCAATATCTGCAGAAGGATGGGGCATAACGGGGTGTACTGCCCGAGCCTCCATTTCCTGGGGCCTGCCCAGAACCGAAGGGTTAATCTATCATCTGCCCAGCCAGGAAGGCAGCCGGTACCTTAGCTGTGTGAGTGACCGCGTGGGAGAAAGATGTTACTCAGCCAGCGCCTCTTGTGCATAGGATCTGCTGGTAGATAAGTCCCCACTCCGCACACAGGTGCACGCTCCCTGTTATACTCTCCTGGCCCCAGATCCAGCTGATCCCCAAAGGGAGCGAAAGGTGGGAAATATTGGGGGGACAGCGGGACCCTGGAGCCAATCCCCACGTAGTAAAGCCACATCGAACACTGCAATCTGGGGCAGGATCCGCGTGCGAAACCCGTGCCCCGCCCGGCAGCACAGGAGTTCTGGGCAAACTCCGGCAGTGCTGTAGGTGGGGGAGCCTGGAGGAGACCCCCCTTTTGCTCTACTTTTCGGAAGGGACGCTGTAGCTTTGAGCGGATGCAGCGTTCTTGGAGCCGCGTTGGTCCCAGGATACAAGACCAGCTAGGTGAGGTAACTGGAGCTTTAAGGCACAGTCCAGCCCTTCTCCTGGTACAAACCAAAGGCCTGGGGGCAAGCACTGAGGGGAGCCACACGGACAGACCTGGAGGTGTCAAGCAGGTGGGAGGGAGGGGGAGCTTTTCCACCCCTACCTGCCACACAAGGGAAACGCTGGTAAGCTCACGACACCTCCCTGTCTGTAGACAGATACCTGACCTGGAGTGGAGCAGAGGAAGGACCCCCACCCAGCTCCACCCAGAAGGCATAAGTCTCACCAGGCGAACTCCCTGGAGCCTGCATCTGTGACCAAGGCAGTTACTTCCCTGCCTGCCTGCACTGGGGAAACTGAGGCACAGCGGAGACAGTGACTTCTGCCCAAGAGAGGAAATGGGGTCCTGGCATAGGCACCCCTGCCTTACCTGACCCTGGGACACCCGGAGCCACAGCTGGGTTAAGTCCCGCTCAGCAGGGAGACAAACTTTCCCTGCTCCCCTCCGCAAACTATTCCAAGAGGCACTTCCTGGCCCACCCTAGCCTGCAGCGCTGACGGTTGACACCTGGAGGAATGGAGGAGGTAGCAGCAGGGTCTGATTTCAGCCTCAAACCCGAAGGCTTTAGGGGGGCAAAGGGGTGTAGAGGGGAGGGCATGAAAGCTCCCCATGTGGCCCTTGCTAGCGTGACCTAAAGGAGAAGACCTGTGGGATGGATTTGAAACGGCTCTGTCCTGCTAAATGACAACTGCGTGTCATTTAACGAGTAACAGCTGTTCTGTAAGACACTAGAGATTATCCGGCAGAACGGTTCTCCGGGGAACTGGAGACGTTTGCCCTGGCGCGTTCTGATGACTGTAGGAGAACGCTAAGCTGGGGGGAGAGGTAGATACACTGGAGGGTAGGGATAGGGTCCAGCGTGACCTAGACAAATTGGAGGATTGGGACAAAAGAAACCTGATGAGGTTCAACAAGGACAAGTGCAGAGTCCTGCACTTAGGATGGAAGAATCCCATTCACTGTTACAGGCTGGGGACCGACTGGCTAGGCGGCAGTTCTGCAGAAAAGGACCTGGGGATTACAGTGGACGAGAAGCTGGCTATGAGTCAGCAGTGTGCCCTTGTTGCCAAGACGGCCAACAGCATATTGGGCTGTATTAGTAGGAGCATTGCCAGCAGATCGAGGGAAGTGATTATTCTCCTCTATTTGGCACTGGTGAGGCCTCATCTGGAGTATTGCGTCCAGTTTCGGGCCCCCCACTACAGAAGGGATGTGGACAAATTGGAGAGAGTCCAGCGGAGGGCAACGAAAATGACCAGGGGGCTGGAGCACATGACTTACGAGGAGAGGCTGAGGGAACTGGGGTTATTTAGTCTGAAGAAGAGAAGAGTGAGGGGGGATTTGATAGCAGCCTTCCACTACCTGAAGGGGGGCTCCAAAGAGGATGGAGCTCGGCTGTTCTCAATGGTGGCAGATGACAGAACAAGGAGCAATGGTCTCAAGTTGCAGTGGGGGAGGTCTAGGAATCCACACAGATGAATGGAAGATCCGTTCATGAGCCCTTCGCCCCAGCCGCCCAGGAAAGAGAAGAGCTGGGACCCAGAGGGTGGCAGGGGTGAGGACAGAGATGTAGGAGGTACCGGGGCTGTGTTAAGAACTAGGACGAAGACATAAGGTGGACCCCAGGAGAGCATGGGATATCAGAGCAGCTGCTTCTGCCCATATAGACGGTCTTAAACTTGGCTAAAGACTCTTCGGTGCTGGATTTCTAGTGACTAATCAGTGCTCTGTTGTTCTGAAAAGGCTCCTGGTCTCACCACACACATGCCCTGGGTGCATGGCTCCCTGAATGGGTACAAGTCTCTACAAAAGTCTTATCTCGGCTGCACTCTCAGTAGAGCGCCAGGACAGAAACAGGGGTGCCAGAGATGAAGGCCCAGTCTGGGAGTCGGAGAGGTGCAGAATTCACCCTTGGGAAAGGCTATGCGCAGGCTTGGCAAGAAATAGGGGACCTCCTAAGAGACCATATGAAGGCTGAAGCAATGATAGATGTAGATCTATGACAGCTGGTGGCAGTAGTAGGATACTGAATGCACCACCCACCCAACCCCCACGCCTCCCAGCAAACAACTCTCATAGGAATCACCCAGAGGATTCTGGATCAGAGCTGAGGGCCATCTAGCTTGGTATCCCGTTTCTGACAGAAGCCAGCACTAGATGCAACACGGAAAGATGTAAAGATCCTGCAGTAGCCGAGGGGAATAATCTGCTCCCCACACAGATCTCACCCTGATCTTTACTAATTACAGATCTTAAGCCTCAGAGCGGGAGGTTCAGCTCCCTCCTGTACAGACTCTTCTAACCCTGCATATTCTTGTTCTCTACACGAATGTCCAAGACCGTTTTCTCTTGTGCTACTAACGCGGCACCGGTGGGTGGGTCAGCAGCAGTAGGGATGGAACTGGCGACCTCTGGATTTAAAGGCAGGAGATTTCCTGCCCAAGCTAAGAGACCCAGCTCCCCAATCAAGGCTACAGCAGGCTCTTCCACCCTATGGGTGTGCCTACACTGCAAAAAAAAAGGCGTGTTCTTAACCCACGTGCTTAATTCGCGTTAGCTAACCTGGGTTAAAACAGCAATGAAGACCCAACCAATCGGCTCTAGACGCCAGGCTTCTCTAACTCCAGCTGCTAACCCGCGTTAAGAGGAGAATGAGAAGTTGCTTACCTTGTACAGTGACTGGAGTTCGAGCTGGGTGGTCCATACACACGTTCGAGCGGGTGGGGTACACGCACAGCGGTGGAGTTCGGAATCTTTTGGCCAGAAGTGTCCACACGGCACATTCGTGCCCTGGGGGCTCTTTGTGTTTTTCCCGCAAGGGTGTCTAAAGGCCGAGCATGCCGGCACGCTCCATTCCTCTTCACCGCAGAATCAGAGTTAAAGGGCTCCTGGCACGTGCTTATGGAAGACATCTCAGCGAACCGCAGTCACTTCTCCTTCGAGTCATTGTCTATATGCACATTCCACGGATGCTGGCTTCCGTCCATTGAGTCTAGGAGAATAAAGACTCAAGTATGGGCCGGCTGAACGCAGCTTCCAAGCTGGAGACTTCAGTAAGTACCTAGTGCTTAGTGAATGAATGGATAGCGTCCCCAGTGGCTGCCCTGCCTGTGCGCACGTTCTTTGAGGAGGCTGCTGAGGCTCTGATGGAACGAGTCTTAAAAAGGATGGGGAGTCCTTTGCCCCCTCAAAGCAAGGCCTCGCGTCGTCAGAAATCCACATGGACAAAGGCTGTGCCTCTCATCCTTCCTAGAATGGCCACGAAGGGCCTAGGGGAAGATCTGCATGGCTTCTTTCTTTGCAGATAGGAAGCCGGAACTTGTTGGACATCTCAGGTGTGTAGAACTGGAAGCATGAGGCTAAGGAAAGAACACGGGTAGGTGGATTTGCTGGTTCAGATGGAATTCTGTGACTCCCCTTTGGCAAGAGCTTTGGATGGGTTCTTAAAGACACTGGATAGCTGACTATAGAATAAAGGACCCAGCCGTGCTTGACTCTCTCCTACCCTCCTCACCCAGCCGATAGCTACCCTGAACGCCATTTTCACAGACAATTGCAAGACAGAGCACAATCGCGATTAGTCCATCAGCACTGAAACAATCAGGTTGAGGTCCAATGGGGAAACCAGAATAGGTGGAAACCCACTGATCAGGCCTTTTAGAAATTTCAAGACCACTGGACGCGAGAAGGTAGATTGGCCCTCTATACAGGGAGGAGGTTAAGCGATCACGGCCGAGCGACCATCAGCGAGAGCTCAGTGGCAAGTTAAGTTTGAGTTCCAGTCGATAATCCAGGATCACGGGCATGGATGCCTTCTGAGCGTTCAGAGACTTGTGACACCATCTGTGAGAAATTCTCGGCCATTTTGCAAGGTAAGTCTGTCTTGTAGAGTCTGTCCAGCTGCCAACCAGGATATCCCAAAGTGCAGAGAAGCAGGACTCAACAACCGTCCAGAAGCCCAGCTGCGAGATGAGGAGACTTCAGATCCAGATAACTTTCCCCTTGTCCTGTGATAATAGATCTGCTACCAGAGGTAAAGTCTTGAGCCGAGAGCCGGAAAGTCTCAGGATGTCAGAAACCAAGACTATCTCAGCCATGCCGGGTGCTCTCAAGCCAAGACCATGGCCAAGACAATCTTGGTTTCTGGACATCCTGAAGGTGTTGTTTCATCTTGCAAATGACTCTGTCCACAGATAGCGCCAGTCTGAGAAGATGGCTTGAAAAATGGAGTCTTTGAGTTCCCACTTGTGGTTCAAGGAGACGTACCTGCTCCGACCGTCTGCTATGGTGATCTGCAGACTGGGTAGACAGACAGCCGAGAGGACACTCCAACGTCTGATGCCTCAGCTCCACACCTGGATGGTTTCTTGGCCAAGCGGGTTGGATCTGCCGCCTCCCTGGCTTGTTGAGGTAGAACATGGAGGTGGGGTTGTCCGTCATTATCTGGGCATGCTGACCTGCAATATGACTCAAGGAGGAGTCTCCAGGCTTCAGCAGCACCATGAGCTCTCAGAGGTCGATGTGCATCTGTGTCCTCAGGGCATTCACAGGCCCTGTGTCTGCAGGTTGTCCATATGTGCTGCCCATCCTGAGAGCAATGTGTCCATCCCCCTCATCCTGGATAGGTGGGGAGGTGCAAAGGGGCGTTTGCTGGGTCTTTCCACCAAGCCAGAGATGATCGACCCAATGGAGAGGGGGCATGGAGAGGGCCATATCCAGATGATATTTGCCTGGGGTGCAGACAGGCCTCGGCCAGCCCTTCATGCATCGGAGGTGTAGTCCGGCATGAAGCTAGGAGACCACGAAGAGCAAGGGACGTTCTCCCAACTACAGAGTCTCACTCCTCCGCCACCACTACAAGATCAGGGATGAAAGATTCTTGAACCTGTCCCAAGGTAGGAAGCCCATGGGTTTGAGCAGTGCACCAGTGAACTCCAGGTTCGGCACCAGGCTGCGGGTGTATTGAGCAGCGTTTGAGACCCAGTGAGGTGACTTTCCCTGAACCAGCCAACTGTCCCGATGAGGGCATACTGACATGCCTTTCTTGCTTCAGTATTTTGCTGTAATCTCCAGAGCTTTAGTAAATAACCTCGGGGTGGCTGAGAGGCAAAGGGGTAAGATACATACCGGTAATGCCAGTGACCTACCATGGATCTCAGGTACCGGCTATTGGATGGTATCATGCCTATATGGAAGTACACATCCTGAAGGTTGAGCTATACGAACCAGTCCCCGGAGAGGGAACAATCCAGTTGAGGGTCACCACCCTGAACGTCAGCTTGCGTATGAACACGTTCAGTCTAAGATGGTTCACCATCCGTCTCCCTGCTTTGAGAGGAGGAAGCATCGTCTGTAGAAGCCCGTTCCCCGCTACGGCAGCAGGACCTGTTCTGTTGCTCCAAGAGGCTCTCTCTCATTGTAGAAGACCCTAATGAGAGTGGTCCCTGAAGAGGGATGAGGCGGCAGGTTGGGATCGGGCACTGTGAGGCACTGAATAGGATAACCTTATGATGTCCAAAACCCACTGAGCTAAGGTGGTGCAGGACGATTTCTAAAGGAGGGAGCTAGCTCTGAAGCCAAAGGAGTGGTCTGGATCTCCGGCCAACCCATCAAAACTGGCGTTTCTAAGGAGGAAGGTGGGACGCCTGGGTCGATGAGACAGGCTGCCTTCTCCCGCGGAAGCGCTGTTTCTTCCCGGAGGGGTTCTGTGGCCCTGTGGTGGAAGAAGGGGGGGGGTCAGACTGTTCTTTGAGGAGCAACGGTGAAGTTCACCACTCCCGGGTGACATCACAATCCCTCGGTGTTTACACACCAGCTCCGAGAAGGAAGCATTTCAGACAGCAACGACAGAGCACGCCCACCGCCATGGCCAGGGAGCGAGATGCAGCATCGTTACCGACTGCCCCTCAGCAATCCCAGGATGCCTCCATCCCGCCACCATGGCTACCCGGCTATTTTTAGCACCCTGGCTCAATCAGAGCAACACAGGTATGTCTACCTCAGCCGGAAACTACACCTCCAGCTGCAGCGTAGACGCATTGTTCCATTGTCCTACTGTTCTTACAGTTCGGACGTTTTTCCTGACATTTAATCTAAACCTGCTGGGCTTTCGTTTGAACCCACTGCCCCTTGTCCTGCCCTCTGTGGGAAGAGAACAACTTTTCTCCATCTTTCTTATGGCAGCTTTTGCAGTATTTGAAGACCGCTAACGTGTCCCCCCGCAACCTCCTCTTTTCCAAACTAACCATACCCAGGCTCCTTCAGCCTTTGCTCATACGGTTTGCGTTCCACCCTTTGTCGCTCGCCTCCGGATCCTTTCCGGTGTCTCTACATCCTTCCTATCCAGCGGTGACCAAAACTGGACACCGTACCCCAGCTGAGGCCCATCCAACACCGAGTAGAGCGGTACTGTCACCTCCGTTGACTTCCTCCATGGGTAGGAGGAGCGCCCTTGCTCTTCTCTTCAAGAGGTCTTGGAACCTGCTACAACCGTCCAATTGTGGGGCTGGGGCGGGGGGGGGGGCACCGCTGCTTCATCTGGTGAGGATGAGGATGACAACGATGGCAAAGCAGTTGGCCCTGCTGGGTCTACAAACCCATGCTCTGAAGTGTCCCT